GGGGGGGGGGGGGGGGGGGGCTTAGTGATCTGCGCACCACAATGCTGCTTTGTGCCGTAAGGCTCAGTTGGGCTAGTTGGACGATTTGTTTCAGGTTCAGCTATGTTTGGTGACACACACCCGTCAGTTCTCTACATCCACCGTCAAAAAATGCGGCGGGATAAGGCAAACGGGTGTGCGATCGATCGTTTTTTTACAGCTCGATTGCTCCACAACCAAGAGGCTTGGGCAACGTCCGAAGGAGGGTGGCTCGGGAAAGAGCTGTCCTTGCAACGCGTCGGCTACGCGTCGGCCGGCACTGGCAGCCGCTTGGTTGTGGGGATACAGGGCTACAGAAATTGAGCACACACTTGTGCGTTCGCGCGTACTTCCACGGTACTGTACTCCGAGTATCTGATTCGCGCTAGGTTATTGGAGTCAGAGACGTCAACGCTACCTATCCCGCTGCAGCTCCTAGAGCATAGAGATAACTCACACCAATAACAACCGGGCTGCGCCTGTTACACGGTACGCACATTCTTCATGAAGCCCACCAGCAAATCAATCCTGGTGACGGGAAAACAAGCAGATATCGGACGTCATCGAACGCCCAGGTGGGATCAACTCATCACCCATTCCCCGCCTTCGACCGAATCCTTGTCGGTCTCATGAGACGATAAATTTCCCTCTTACACAGTTACGGTGAAATTGATCATTGGTCCAAACACGCCAGTAAACGTTGGCCCATGGAAGCATAGCTTGGTTATACGATCACGCCAGCCCAGAGCTGCTCATCTCCACGGGTGAAGTCGAAGCACCGCATGAGCCACGAACCACACCCTTCTCGGGGACAAAAACCGCAGTGGTAAAAAAAGCGATGACGACACCCGTGTCTTTCTGCTGCTATGCATACGCGCATGCACGTGGGGTGGGGAGAAGGGCAAGGGCACGGAGCGCACCTCAGATCCCAGCGACGCAGCCCTGGCCATCTCGTCCGCGCCGGCTGCGGACCCTAGCCGATCCTTCGTCCACGCCCTGCCCAGCTGCGTCAAAGCCTCCTGTTATGTAGCAGAAAGGGGCGGTGGGTGACGAGCGGCAAACGTTGACATCGACCTGGCAACACAAGAAGGACTACGCGGCTTGAGCAGCGCAGTTGTTGTTGTTGATGTTGTTCGTGTCTTCACACTAAAACCGTTCCGTCCTCTCTACCCAGTGCCTTCTTCTGTCCGTACTGCATAGTCCGACACGTTACTGGAACCACATTAACCTCGGGGAGAGGTTAGGTTGCCAGGGTGCACATATCAGGGCTAGGGGGTTTCGCCTAGGACACATGGCATGGTAAAAGCTACGCAAGAGACACGCAGAACGGAATCATGTACAGGTGGATACAGCGTGACTTCCAGCAGGTATAACGATCGTCGCTGCCTTAAGGCCACCTGTTTTTTGAGGATCATGACGCTGCGCAGAATGCAACCAAACACAACAGAGGGGGGATAGTTTGAAGGATACTTCCCCCCGATAATTGTTTGAAATGACCCTACAAGTGTCGATCAAGTGGAGAAGGACGGAACAACTATCGTAGCACACGCAAAACACCAACGCAAACTTTCAGCTTTCTCAGACTCTTTTTGGTTTCAAAAATCAATCGATGGCAACCTGGCAACCAACCTGGCTGTAACAAAGCCAATAGTGTTGGGCAAGTCGGAGCAACCATCGAAGCGCTACCGCGGCCGACATGCCCGTGCCTACCACCAGCACATGACCAACCGTGCACCGTTACTATCTCACCGCTACCACCTATGATACCCCTCCCATTTACTGCTTAACCAGAGCATGTGCATGCCTGCCGCCCATGAACACAGCACAAGGTCCGATGAACGTCTTCAACACCCGCGTGTACTGGTTGCCCTTTGCGCGCAAAAACTGCTTATTCGGAAAAACAAACACCTGATGCCCACCTTAACTTCCCCACGAGATGTGGTGAACTCGAAATCGCCACGAACGTCATGAATACCTCTGTGAATAGTATTATAGGAAAAATTGGAAGCAAAACGATGTACATAAAACGGCCACTTTAATACCACTTACGTAGACGCATTCATGACGCAACAAACTGTAGCGCCGCCTTGGCAATAGAAACACTCACAGGCTCCTGCGGAAGCCAGGCCCCCTGGAGAGAGAACCGCGGCGCCTGGTTTCCCGTGAAGAAGGCGGTGTCCACCTTGATGCCCCGAATGCGGCCTGGCAGTCCGAGTCTACAACGGCAATTATTTGCGGTGGGGCGCGCGCCGGCAGTAGCATAGGGGAAGAAAGGAGGAGCGACATCGCGAGCAGCGTAGCCGCGGTAGTCGTCAAAGGGGTGGGAGTACACACTAGCAGCAGTGCATGGAGGATTCACCCGCAGGGGGGGGGGGG